GGATTGTAAGGTGTCAATTAATAAATTGATTGTACCAAACACCTATCCACTGCCTTTAGCTCAAGATATTTTCGCCACATTATCTGAGTGTACAGTCTTTTGTTCGCTCGACTTAGCAGGAGCATATACGCAGTTAAAACTTTCAGAAAGGTCAAAGCGATTCATGAAAATTGGATTCTTTAGAACATCGACATAATACTTATAAGCTCTTATACAACAATGTATACAAGTTTTAATAGCATTGGTAGAAAATGCGATACAAAGATGCGTACCGTTTTACTTCACAAAATAATTATATATTGAAATGCATACACACTTAATCACCGTTTCCCTGCTCGATAAAATTTTTTTACAGTTTTTCAACTGTAAATCACCTAAATTACCGAACATTCACCTATTCTAAATATAACTACTGACTACTGACAAGCAAAGCACACATGATCCGAAGGATAGGTGTGTATGAGAAAATTTGCGGAAATAATCAACGGCAACCCGGTGGGAGGGGATGGGACCCCACTGGTTCCCTTAAATTTTATTTTGCAAAGTTTCTTATACCTTCCGATCATGTGTGCTCTGCATCTCAGTATCTTCAAAATTAACCACTTCATTCGAGCAGTTGAAATGACGTTTACTACCGCTCGAGCTTTGAACTAAAACATTATTTTGAGATTTTTCCTTCTAGAAACACGAGCAAAATAGCCATCATTTGTGCGTTTTATAGAAAAATAAAAATTAGTTGGTCCAGTTTTGTGGAATTGCTGTTTCTAAATATAACTAATATATATATATATAAGTCACGCCAAAACTGCTCAAAAAGTGGTCAATTAAAAAAAAGCAATCAACCTTAGATAGCATTCTAATTGTTTTTCAATAGTTGCACTGTTGGAACCAAAAATAATAGTGAGAGAGAAGAGATGAGAGTACTGAGCATACCGAAGAGTTTAAATCAACTCTGATTAGTCTAAACTGTATTGGTTGTTGACAATCGCAATATGGACCGAAAAGTTGTGAATTACCATAGAAAGGAAGAACGCATAACACTTTTTTGAGACGTATTGAGAACTTTGTAGTTTATCACTAATGTTTGGTCATATAATTAATTAGTAAACAATAAAACAAAATATAGCAAACGTAATCTACGCAGCATTAGTTTCGCTTCCTTTATCGCACACAGTAAAATGAAATAAATTGCATATGATACACACTCCTTTTTTTTTGCTTTATTACGTCCCTACTGAGACTCCCTAGCCGGCTCTCAACTGAGTGTTCATTGGATAGGGTAGAGAACTACTTCGGCCTAATCGCCCATTTTGGGCCTATCGAGCATAAAACTTCAAATAAATCCATGATTTCAGAGTTAATAAGTCAATTATGCGTTTGGCACGATACTTTAGTTAATAAGCTTCCGAACGAAGTCAATTATAATACGTGATATGAAGGTTTGCACTCATAATTCTCAAAAACAAAAGAAGCGTTCCGACCGAATCAATTTTTATCTTCATCCGATAGGCCGAAGTGAATTCATTGGCGTTTCAATGGCGTTTCAATGCGTTAGGCTGAGTTTAGAATTCGTAGGCCGAGTTTGGCGTCAAGAAGCAGTGTTAGACTTTTGACAATATCTCAACGATTGGTTTCTCTTTATCAAATCTTAAGGTACATACGGAAAGGTAAATAAATTTGGAAGCCATCAGTAATAATAACATTCCGTTTGGTGCTAAACTGCGATTAAGAAAGACTAAGTGCGGGTTGTGTTTAATAGGCCGGAAATGGGGTAGTTAACCCTACTTCCACAGTTTTTAACTGAGAGCTTTCTAAGTCAGTACCATTTTTGCATTAGTATTATTGTGTGGCAAGTACAATGGGCATAGACAGGGAGTTCAAGGATTTTTTTCGATTATATGTATGTATAACTTTAAAAATATATATAATCCAAAATCGAAAAATACACATTGCTTATTTTTTGATATGTTGTGTAAAAATGCCAAAATTTTATGGAAAAATACACAAACTTATTATCCTCTCTGTCTACAATTTTGTTCATTTTAATCAAAAATATAAATGTTTATACTCTAAACATATTCAAACAGGGAATTGAAAATATCCTTCTTGTTTACATTCGGCAAAGTCAACTGAAAACGGTCCACAAGCAGCGGAACCGAAGTAAAGTGTCCGGAAACCCACGTAGGCAAGTGTTTCAAGCTCGACAAAACCGGCGGAACAATGTCAACGTCACTCCCGTTTCTGATGCCGATCCCCAAATCATCCTCAACCCCACCCGACGTCGAAAGAAAAACGAATCCGAAATGGATTCTCCCCCAACACCAAACGTAGAAAGAGGCCGGTATGAGGACCAGCGTCAGAAACGACTTAACGACGTTAAAATCACAAAGTTTCACCGATTCTACTGAACTGGAACCCCCGGACAACCACCCCGACGGGCCACCGGATCTCAGACCACCCGCAGACCATCCTTAATTACACCGAAAAATAGCAGGAATTTAAATGCCCTGTACAGATTTCCATTTATTTGCTATCCATTTTTGTTTTGTTTTATCCCACGTTCACTATATTGTATATGTTACGTTTATTTAAAAAATATTCATGTTGAGAATAAACGTGAATATTTTTGTGATCAAAAATGAATATATTTATTTTGAATAGGCGTAACACGTTTTTATATTTTTCTTTGAAAAATCAGTGATGTATTTTTCTTCGTTTTTGAGATACGATTTTTTGAAATCATCATGTTTAGAAATTTCTAGTCTAGGATCAGAAATTGAAATAATTAAGTAATGTAACCATGTTACATTTGACATGTATCAATGGAGACGCAGGGTAATCTAGTCGTATTTGAGTAATGAGCGAAATTTCTAAACATGATAATTTCATCAAATCGAAACTTAAAAACTAAAAAATACATTGCTGATTTTTTATATGTTTTGTAGAAAAGCCTGAATTTTCAAAGAAAAATATAAAAAAAGTGTTAAGTCCATTGTCTACAAACCATGAAAACCATAAAAAAAAGTAGAAGGGATAAGTTTTGGAGTCATAACATATTAAGGAAGTTCATGTGCACACTAGCGCCACGTAGTGAGCGTGTTCTGAACTAATATGAACATCATCCAAAAGGACTTGATCACCTGCACAACTTTGCTGAAAACAGCAACTTTCTATATGGCCAGGCTCTCGAGATACAGTTTATATAGGAATTGCACATGCACACTAGCGTTGCGTAGTGAGAGAGTTCTGAACTAATATGGCCACCATCCAAAAGGACTTGATCACCTGCACAACTTTGCTGAAAACAGCAACTTTCTATATGGCCAGGCTCTCGAGATACAGTTTATATAGGAATTGCACATGCACACTAGCGCTGCGTAGTGAGAGAGTTCTGAACTAATATGGCCACCATCCGAAAGGACTTGGTCACCTGAACAACTTTGCTGAAGACAGTAACTTTATATATGGTCAGGATCACGAAATATTCTATGTTGGAAATATGATCCATATATTATAGCGCCCGTCATAAGTAACATAAACGTGAAGCGCCTCTAGCGGCGTAGCTCCCAATTTAACCTGAATCCAATGGCACAGGCTTGTTGGTTTAACCCAGTACAGCAACTTTGTCGAAGACAGTATAGCTTTATGTATTGAAACAAATGAGGTAATCCACTACAGCCCCCATTAGTGAAAATCCCATAAGCTGTGGGTTAGGGTGCTTCATTCTGAAAAAAGTGATGAATTTCTGATGGGCCACCCTCCAGTTCGATTCATAGCCCCAAAATATGAACCTGTGCAAAAATTGGTAAAGATTGATGAAGGTTTAGAGGTCGCGCCAATGATTTGAAATTTGTATGGGAATTACTATGGAAGAATTTAAAAAATCGCTTATATCGCTATAACTTTGCTTCTACTTGTCCAAATGTCGAAAAAATTTAGTATGTTATTGCTATGGCAATAAACAAAAAGCCTACAGTTGCTACGCTCAGTTTTGCAGCGTATCAAGAATTATAAAAATGTGAAAAAATGGCAAAATAGGGTAAATTGACAGATGAATATGTACAAGGCAACAACGCCAATTTCATCGCAACAACAACAGGCTTGTTGATCATTGTCATGACAACCACATATTTTTTTTTTTCAACGTTTGGACAACTACAACCAAAGTTAGAGCAATGTAAACGAAAATCAATAATTTCCCATACTAATTCACCAAAATCTCCATACAAAATCCAAATCATTGGCGCGACCTCTAAACCTTCATCAATCTTTACCATTTTTTGCACAGGTTCATATTTTGGGGCTATGAATCGAACTGGAGGGTGGCCTATCAAAAATTCATCACTTTTTTCAAAATGAAACACCCTACTGTGGGTATCCTTATTCGCGGTTCCTTATTCACGCCCCCGTTACCCCGGCAATAAGGATTCCTGACTGTACCAATTGTTACGAAATTCTGAGAACCACTATATCGTTTTGCTATGGAATGGCTGTATATACATCCACCTCCCCCCATCTATTCCAACACTCATGGTATATGGACAGCCTTTAAAGAAGGCCTCAAGAGTTTATTCATCCACCATAATTATTTCCGTAAATCCATATCCGAAATGCGATTTTTTCCAACTATCAAATCACACACACACTAAGATAATGCAAACATCTGCATTGGTAATCTGAACACACATTGTATACGGAAGCTGTTTTACACCTATTTTCTTGAAATTGCTTACTCACGGAACTTGCCGTCGAGAGATGTATGCATTAGTAAGACGACTACTTGCGGCTATCAATGGCAAAGGCAGTAAGTTGATAACACTTCACCCGAGAGCGGTGTTCTAAGATACTATACGAAGTGGGGAGTAATCTGTTGATAGCTGAACACGAATGAAATTATTTCTGGACAAATAACCACAAGCTGTCGGGAACCGAATTTTCATTGTAAAATAATAGTGAGTGTTCTGCTGTTCTGCTTAGACAATCATGCTGCTCAAGCAAGTGTTCAAGGGATGTTTCAAGTTGTGCGTTATGATTCAAACTTTTATTGGTCAAAAGTAGATATACTGCAATTCAAAATGTGCGCAATTACTATTACCTATTCGATTGGCAAAAACGAACATTATTGAAAACTTACATGTAAAGCATAATATATCGGTGGACTTCAAATAATTATAATTTAACTAAAAGAGGTTTAATACGTTTGAAAAGCTATACGCGGGTGAGAACGGTGTGATGAGTACATCGAGTGACTATCTTGTTTTATTTGTCACACTGAGATCAGTGCCTCACTACATACCTCTGGACACGTTCATATCTTATCAATGCGCCTCCAGTATAGCAAACCATGTGTATATTGCTTTGATTCGGTCAAAACATGCCTTTTGATAAAAGCAATCATTTAGTATTTCCGATACGTTAATCCTTTTCGCACAGTTCGATCAATACGCCAATATACATCTCAAATGTCCTCAGATGTAGTATCAAATCAAACGTTAATCAGTATACAGCTGACAATTGTGTGAGCAATCATGAAGAGTATTGTGGAAGCTTTTTGTGATTATGAAAGAAGTGAGTTCGCATTCGGATCCTCCATGAACATAGAAGATACTTTGTTTCAACACATTCTTGGTATGTATTTGTATGCTACTGTCTTTGAATATTCCGATGTTTCTTTTTTACCAAGCTATAATTCAAAAGTTACTATCATACCTACATAACAATTTTATCAACCAAAAATTGCATATCATTTTGAGTGACTAAATTGGAAAAGGAAATGTAAATTAGGTGTTAGTGCCGCAACACTGAATGATTCGGTTCTGACGACTTAAATTTGGATTCACGTCCTTCTTTGTATATGCACAAAATTATTCTGTGTCTTTCGAAAGCCTTTAGCATATTGACAATCACACACAATGCAGCGGGTCATACAATTACAGTTTCGTTTTTGTTTTATCGATGAAATTTAATTTACATCGCTTTCAAGCTTGATACTAAATCAATATAGGAACGGAGCAACTTAACATAGGTCAGATGTCGTCTGATATCGGAATATAAGGTTACCGATATATTCACTTCAAGTAAATCCTACTGTGTACATTCAATCTTATGTGCATCGCCAGTTTTGTTGTACTTTCAGTCTATTTCTGTCCTGCATGGTCATACATAACTCATCGACATGTCACTTTTGCATCAAATTTAATAGCACGCACTGCTTTTATATAAAAGACGAACAAAAATGCAAGCTCATTTATCTGGGCGACGTGGCGTTAACTTATTTTCGTATTTACACCTAGCTCCGATTGGTCTTATCAAGTTTGCGAACGCCAACCGTTTACTTAAGTTAGATTTATGGCTCTTAGAAAAATATTCGTTGTCACTTGTGATTCTAGATCGAGATGCAGCTAATCAAGAGCAACCGATTGAGCATACAATTATTATGATGCGAAAATATTATTTTGAGATAATTATTATGTTTCATAATAATGTGCAGATGGGTAGAAATCACGCTTGATTCATTTTAGCGAAATTCGATCAATTTCCGATGTCTTGTTAAAATCTTGAGGAAGCATGTTTTTGAATCATGGCATATTTTTTACCTGTTAAGTACTCTCTAATACCCTGGACAGACTATGGCTTATATCATGTAATATAAGCTGTCTTGCAATGAGCACTCATACATCTAGTTTTCACTGGAAATCCTATGTATGAGTGCTCATTGCAAGACAGCCTATATTACATGATATAAGCCATAGTCTGTCCAGGGTATAAAGAGTCTTCTCTGAAAATTTCATGATATTTGGTGTAATAGTTAAACAGTTTTATCTGGCTTTAATAGTATTTACATACGTAGGACGTAAGAATGTTTCGATATGTACGGCAAAAGTACGCACTGTTCCTAAAGGCAGGTAAACGAAAAAAAGAGCCAATGATTCTGAGTAGAATTTAAATCTCTACTTGAAAATTACTTGCATGAATTACGAAAATTATTTGATTTTAATTTTATTTTGTATGATTCTATGCAAATCTTCATCGCTCAAAAACTACCGTTTTTTTTTTTTATCTAGTTCGTTTATTTGGAAGGCTCAATCGCGTTAGCTTTACGGAGCCGATAATTCATTGTTCACTGTGTGTAACAAAATTCACTTAATTCTATGTCTAGTAGGAGTTGGGCCGATTACTCGCGGCTTACTCGAGGTTAGAAGGGTACATTTTCGAAGGATAGGATCAGGGGAGGAGCTTGGGGTAGGGTTTCGTTGTCTCATCAGAGCGTTGTCGCCAGTATGAACGGTAGTGCTGTTCTAGCTTCGTCCGGAGTTCGACCGGCTATGGTGGGTGACCAGTGGGCGACGATGAGACTCATCGAGACGGGGGGACAAGACAAACAAAAACTAATAAAGAGAGACAAAAGACAAAAGGAATTAAATTCTTATACTAGACATTTGAAGAAAAACATAAACGGACTGCATATAGCAGAGATCACGGGTTGCCAACACGTCTCTGATAGGAACATAGGGTTGTCTTCCTTGGGCCTCGAGGGTATTCAAAAGTCGCTCTCTGGCGGCGTCATTATCCGTACATTGCCAAACTGCGTGTTCGATGTCATCGTAACCGTTTCCACACCGACAGATGTTGCTGTCCACGAGGTTTATTCTATTGAGATGAGCATCTAGCGAGTAGTGGTTGGACATAAGTCTACTCATCACGCGAATGAAGTCACGACTTAAGTCCAAGCCTTTAAACCACGCTCTCGAAGAAACATTAGGAATAATTGAATGTAACCACCGTCCAAGATTTCCAGTGTCCCAATCGGTTTGCCAACTCGAAAAGGTACTCTGACGCACTAAATGGTAAAATTCATCGTGTGAAATTTGCCTGTCATACAATTCGCCTTCCTGTGCGCCCACCTTTGCGAGAGAGTCCGCCTTCTCATTGCCTGGGATTGAGCAATGTGAGGGGACCCATACAAAGGTAATCATATATGATCTTTCGACCAGCACACACATCTGCTCCCTTACCTTTGAAAGGAAATAAGATGAGTGCCTACCTTGTTTCATCGACCGAATAGCCTCAATCGAACTGAGACTATCCGAGAAGATGAAGTAATGGTCTGCGGGCATGTTGGAAATCATCCCCAATGCGAAGTTGATTGCTGCCAGCTCAGCAACAAAAACGGAACAAGGTTCCTGGAGTTTGCGGAAGGCGCTAGAGTTTTCATTGAAGACACCGAAGCCAGTGGATCCACTGAGACGAGACCCGTCTGTAAAATATCTTTTCATGCAATTGACTTGTTGGTACTTTTCAGTAAAAATACGCGGAATAATAATAGGTCGAAGTTGATCGGGAATCCCATGAGTTGCTTGTTTCATGGTCAGATCATATTCAATTGAGGAACTGCGATTGGTGAAGTGAACACGGTCTGGAGTATAACAAGGAAGACACATATCTGATGATATGTAGTGGTGGTAGATTCTCATAAATCGAGATTGTGTGTTCAGCCCAAGAATTTCTTCAAAATTTGCAATTATAAGTGTGTTCGTCACTCCGCATTTGATTAGTATTCTGAGAGAGAGCTCCCAGAAACGGTTCTGGAGGGGTGTTACTCCTGCCAGAACCTCGAGACTCATGTTATGCGTTGAGTGCATACAGCCTAGAGCAATACGCAGACAACGATATTGAATTCGTTCCAATTTTATTAGGTGACTTTTTCTTGCCGAGAGAAAGCAGAAAGAGCCGTACTCTAGAACAGAGAGAATAGTTGTTTTATAAAGCGTTATGAGGTCTCCCGGATGAGCACCCCACCATGTGCCGCAAATTGAACGGAGAAAGTTGATCCTCTGCTGACATTTTTGCTTCAAATACGTAATATGAGCATTCCAAGTGCACTTTGAATCAAACCAGACCCCAAGGTACTTGAAAGACAATGATTGGGTAATGTTTCTGCCCAAAAGATTAAGCTGCATTTGGGCTGGGTACCGCTTTCGAGTAAACACTACCAGTTCAGTTTTCTGCGGCGAGAATTCGATCCCTAGATTCATAGCCCAAGAAGACAAGTTATCTAAGGAATTTTGCAATGGTCCTTGCAAGTCCACGGCATGTGGACCTCTTACGGAAACCACACCGTCATCTGCAAGTTGTCTTAGCGTGCATTGTTCTGCCAAACAGTTGTCGATATCTTTGACGTAAAAGTTATAAAGAAGAGGGCTGAGACATGAGCCTTGGGGCAGGCCCATGTAGCTAATTCTGGAAGTTGTCAGTTGTCCAAGGGAAAAGTTCATTTGCTTTTCTGACAACAAATTGTACAAGAAATTATTTAAAATTCCAGAAAGTCCACATCTGTGCAGATTGTCTGACAGAATTTCAATGGAAACTGAATCAAAAGCCCCCTTAATGTCCAAGAATACTGAAGCCAATTGCTCCTTGTGTGCAAAGGCCAGTTGAATATCTGTGGAAAGCAGCGCTAGACAATCGTTTGTTCCTTTGCTCTTGCGGAACCCAAACTGTGTATTTGATAGCAAGTTATTTGATTCGACCCAGTGATCGAGTCTCCGAAGGATCATTTTCTCCAACAATTTCCTAATGCACGAAAGCATAGCAATCGGACGGTATGAGTTATGGTCAGACGCTGATTTGCCAGGTTTTTTAATGGCTATTACTTTGACCTGTCTCCATTCAGGCGGTACAATGTTGTTTTCTAGCAAGGAATTGAATAAATCTAGCAAGCGTCTTTTAGCAATATCTGGGAGATTTTTCAGAAGATTGAATTTAATCATATCGCTTCCCGGTGAGGAGTTGTTCGATGAAAGAAGAGCCATAGAGAAATCCAGCATTGAGAATGGTCTATCCAGAGAGCCGCCGCTAGGAGACGCTTCTCGAAGAATATTTTGTGCTGGAACTGAGTCCGGACAGACCTTTTTAGCGAAATCGAATATCCATCGGTTGGAGTATTCTTCACTCTCATTGAAAGATGAGCGGTTACGCATGTTGCGAGCCACCCTCCACAAGGTGTTCATTGAGGTTTCTCGTGAGAGTCCCTCGACGAAATTGCGCCAATAACCGCGTTTTTTTGCTTTGATTAATTGTTTCAGCTTTGTCTCAAGCTTTGAATATTCCTCGAAGTAAGTGGAGGTTTTGTGTCTACGAAAAGCTTTGAAAGCATCAGATTTTTCTACATACAATTTGTGCATTCTTCGTCCCAACCAGGTGTGGCTGGTCTCCTTTTAAAAGGTGCACTTGGAACTTTTCTTTTTTGTGCTTCCAGTGAGCTTTTGTAAATCAAATCGGCTAGGAATCGATATTCTTCCAATGGTGGAAGCGCATCTATTGATTCGACACCGATTGTCACCGCCGTTGCATATTTCTGCCAGTCGATGTTCCTTGTAAGATCAAATGGAACCCGAGATGGTTCTGCAGAGTGAGGGCCACACTTTATTGAAATGATGATTGGCAAATGATCGCTACCATGGGGATCATTGATAACCTTCCACTGACAGTCCAATGATAGCGATCTTGAACACAAAGATAGGTCGAGTCGGCTTTCTCGAGCCGGAGGTTTTGCTATACGTGTCGCTTCACCAGTGTTCAAAATAGTCAAATTGAAATCGTCACATAAATCGTAAAAAATAGCCGCT